TCTCCTAATATCCCCAAAAGGGGAAAGCGTTATCACTCCACACAGTGAGATTAGGATGGAGAAGGGAGCAGGGGAGGATCTGTCTTAATCATCACTGTATTGCCAATATTGAAATTTTTTGTTTGTTTAAGCAAGGTAAATCTGAATTTTTAATACTTGCAACTACAGTTCTGATCTCAGTGCCTTTTTTTCCTTTGTTTTTGTTTTGAGGATTAAATGAAAATGTGGGTCTGGTTAATAGACACTCACAAGTATTTCTGTTTGCTGACAGTGTGTGCTTACTGCCATTCTACAGTCATTTCTTGTCTGAAGATATCATTTTTCTCTTAACAGACTGGGCCTGCCCATGTCCCAAGTCAATCTAACCAAGACTGGCAGGTATGCCACCCTTTCCAGGGGCTTGGCCCATAAACTGGAGTTAGTATTTCTCCCTTAAGCATGGATCTGATGTGTGTGTGGAAAGCCCCTGCATTCCTGTGTATCCAATGAACTTCTGCTTGAGTCCCACTGTATGGATAATTCCATCTAGGCTCCAGATTTTTCATCCCATTTTGGTCCAAGACTGAAACCCTGAAATAACTTGACTGGCTCTTGCCAACATGCTGTGTCCTGGGGCTGAAACAGTGCCAGTTCATCTCTCCATTCTAGATGCTAGAGACTCTTGAACCACAGTGACACCATCCACTGGTCTGAAACTTTGGAAGCCACAGCACAACTCTACAAAGACATCACTAGGGCACAAACACTAGCTTGCTATCCACCATTAATGCAGTGGCCTCAAGTGACTGACCAAGAAATAAGGGACAGATTAACTTCAGATGTCTAAGCACTTTATGTCACTTCTATTGGCTGCTCAAGTTCCAACAAGCTTTTGCAGCTGGCCAGACCAGCTTGAAGATAAACTACGAGAGCAGGGACATCTGTCTGTTACCTGATGTATCCCAAGCCCTTAGAACAGTGCTTAGCACATAACAGATGCTCAATAAATATCCATTTAGTGAATTAATGAACTGACCTGATATGGTAGACATCTTTGTTTTACCCAGCATTCCCTTCTTTTGAGAAATTACTTCTTCCCTCTCCCATGTTATTCTGATGGAATTCATGACACTCAACAAGCTAGCAAACTGTGTGACAAATCTGAAGCTCATTAATCTGCATGTCCCTAGTCCCTGCAGTTAAGCATGTATCTCACTCTTTACTTCTGGAGAATGTGAGGCATACTGTCATGAGGTTGATGAACAGAAGTGGTATATTCTGCAGGCAGATCATTCAGAAACTAAACTTTATAAGAATGGTCATCATGAAACCCAAGCCAACAAGTAAACTGAACTTCTAGTCAGAATAAACTTATGTTTCTAATATTATTGATCTTCATCTAATTAATCACCAGTACCAGAATTTATCTTATATTCAAATAAATTGGAGATAACACTTTTTCAAATTTCTAATGATAGATGAAATACAATTTTTATAATGTCAGCTTTACTATAATAATTCTATTTAAGGTTTCTCGGGAAAAATCTAATCTGTGAAATATGAAAAAAATATATATTGGATTAAAATAATCCAACAAATGGGGGGCAGGAAAGTTATGGTTATTTAAGGCTTTTTAAAAATTGTGGTAAAATATATATAACATAAAATTTACCCTTTTAACCATTTTTAAGTGTACAATTCAGTGGCATTAAGTACATTTACAATGTTGTGCAACCATCACTACTTACCATTTCCAGAATTTTTTTATCATACCAAAAAACAAAAAAAACCCCTCTGTAGTCATTAAACACTAACTCCCCTTTTCCCCTCCTCCAGCCCCAGGTAAGTGCTATTCTACTTTCTGTCTCTATGAATTTGCCTATTAGAATTACATAACTGAATTATATTGGGATTATAACTGTAGTTATACAATATTTTCCCTTTTTGTCTGGCTTATGTCATTTAGCACAACGTTTTCAAGGTTTATAGATATTGTAGCATGTATTAGAATTTCATTCCCCTTTATGGCTGAATAATAGTCTATGATATGTATCTACCACATTTTGGTATCCATTTACTTGTTGACAGACGCTTGGGTTGTTTCACCTTTTGGCTACTGTGCTTTGAACACTGGTGTACAAACACCTGGTTAAGCCCCTGCTATCAATTATTTTGGGTATACCCAGGAGTGAAATTGGGTGGATCATATAGTAATTCTATGTTTAACATTTTGAGGAACCTGTATAAGGCTTTCAAAATGACTTATAAAGTAAAAATGTATTAACTTAGGAACTGTATAGGCACTAAGTTATTCCTCACCTGATCCTTCACATATCATTACTGGAGACAGAGAGACTGCTGTACTAAATAGGACAGAAGATACATCATTTCCTTGTAGTAAAGGAGGGAAAAGGAATTTGCAAATAACTACAGATCCCCACGGAAGTAAGACATCACAATAATTGCAGCTGTATGTAAACATCAGGATCTTCACAAACATTAAATAGTCTTTAGAAAACCTAAAACTTTCATTCCTAAATAGTGTAAGAATGAATCCCAGGATACATACTACGGTAGCCTCTTTTGTGTGCAAAATAATTGATTAGTACCTTTCTAAAGTGTAAAGGTTATGAAAGACAAGAAAAGACTGAAGAAATGTCACAAAGTAGAGGACGAAGGAGCTCTGATAACTAACTGCAGTGTAGGATCCTGGGTTGGATCTGGAACAAAAAAAGGACAATGGTGAAAAAACTGGTAAAATCCAAATAAAGACTATAATTTAGTTAATAGTACTGTACCACTGTTAATATCCTGGTTGTGATAACTGTACTATGGTTACAAAAGGTGCTAACACTAGTGGAAGCTGGATGAAATGATATATAGGAATTCTCTACTATTTTTGCAACTTTTGTGTAAATTTTAAATGATTCCAAAATAAAAAGCTATAAACTATAGTCTCTGAACTTTAATGGGCATCTGAAATTATTAAGCCAGATAATCAGAAATAGTAGTAATAAACTTGAAGTTATAAGTCTTAACTTTGAATGAGCCTTCAACATTCACAAAGAGGAAAAAAAGACAGTAATTTTGTAGTTAGTGCCTCTAATAAGCAATTCTCTCTTGCACCCTCACTGCCATCCTGGCCTTACATTTCTTCCTCCTAGATCCATCCTCCCAATGCTTTTAACTCTATCTTCTTGAATGGACTTTACATAGGAAAGCTTTCCTAACTATCTTCTTAGATAACCATCCCCTTCAACTGTTGCCAAATCAATGTTTTAATCCAGATTGTTCTCTGTGCTTTAACAGTACAGCCACTGGCCCGCTGGGATGTCCCCACTTCCAAAGGCGGCAGAAATTCAGCATGTATCTAAAGCTAAACCTTCATTTCACTCATTTTTTTTTTAAATTTTATTTTATTATGCTATGTTAGTCACCATACAATACATCATTGGTTTTTGATGTGGTGATCCACGATCCATTGTTTTCGTATAACACCCAGTGCTCCATGCAGTACGTGCCCCCCTTAATACCCATCACTGGGCTAACCAATCCCCCCTCCCCCTCCCCTCTAAAACCCTGTTTGTTTCTTGGAGTCCATAGTCTCTCATGGTTCATCTCCTCCTCTGATTTCCCCCCCTTCCTTTTTTCCTTCCTTCTCCTAATGTCCTCCATGCTATTCCTTATGTCCCACAGATAAGTGAAACCATATGATAATTGACTTTCTCTGCTTGACTTATTTCACTTAGCATAATCTTCTCCAGTCCCATCCATGTTGATGTAAAAGTTGGGTATTCATCCTTTCTGATGGCTGAGTAATATTCCATTGTATAGATGGACCACATCTTCTCTATCCATTCGTCTGTTGAAGGGCATCTCGGCTCTTTCCACAGCTTGGCTATTGCGGACATTGCTGCTATGAACACTGGGGTGCATATGGCCCTTCTTTTCACTACATCTGTGTCTTTGGGGTAAATACCCAGTAGTGCAATTGCTGGGTCATAGGGTAGCTCTATTTTTAATTTTTTGAAGCACCTCCACACTTTTCCAAAGTGGCTGTACCAACTTGCATTCCCACCAACAGTGTAAGAGGGTTCCCCTTTCTCCACAACCTCTCCAACATTTGTTGTTTCTTGCCTTGTCAATTTTTGCCATTCTAACTGGTGTAAGGTCATATCTCAATGTGGTTTTGATTTGAATTTCCCTGATGGCTAATGATGATGAACATTTTTTCATGTGTCTGTTAGCCATTTGTATGTCTTCTTTGGAGAAGTGTCTGTTCATGTCTTCTGCCCATTTTTTGACTTATTCATTTTTTAGGTGTTGAATTTGAGAAGTTCTTTATAGATCTTGGATACCAGCCCTTTATCTATAGTATCATTTGCAAGTATCTTCTCCCATTCTGTGGGTTGCCTCTTTGTTTTATTGACTGTTTCCTTTATGGATTCCAAAATTCTCAACAAAATCCTAGCTAATAGGATCCAACAATACATTAAAAGGATCATCCACCACAACCAAGCGGGATTTATCCCCAGGATGCAAGGGTGGTTCAACATTCGCAAATCAATCAATGTGATAGAACACATTAATAAGAGAAGGAGAAGAACCATATGGTCCTCTCAACTGATGCAGTTTCCTGATTAAAACTCTTCAGAGTATAGGGATAGAGGGAACATTCCTCAAGTTCATAAAATCCATCTATGAAAAACCCACAGTGAATATCATCCTCAATGGGGAAAAGCTGAGAGCCTTTCCCTTAAGATCATTTCACTCATTTACCCAAATCAGAAACATAGGACTCAGCCTAGACTTGTCCTCAATCATCCCCACCCCCTCTCCTAAGCGATATCTTGGTTGTAGTACATATGTCTTCCATTCACTAAAGTATAAAGTTGAAATGCAGCCATCTTTATCATTGATACACACAGTGAAGTTGTACCCAAAAAAGTGGAAAGTAGTATTGGGAAATTCAGAGCATTTTCATTGTTGAAAATGCATTTTTTTTTTCCTTAAAAGAGAAACTGCTCGCTTTGACAGCACATACACCAGAACTGGAATGATACAGAGAAGATTAGTATGGCCCCTCTGCAAGGATGACATTGAAATTCATGAATTATACCATATTTTTAAGAAATTATACCAATTCTCTGCAATCTCTTTCAGAGGACAGAAGTAGAAGGAATACTTCCTAACTCATTCTATGATACCAGAATTACCCTTATACTAAAACCAAAGACATTACAAGAAAACTACAGAACAACATCTCTCATGAAGAGAGATGCAGAAGTCCTCAATAAAATATTAGCAAATCAAATCTAACAATGTTTAAAAATGACAATACACCATAATCAAGTGGGATTTATCCCATGCATGCAAGGCTCTCTAACATTTGAAAACCAAATGATGTAATGTATCATATTAACAGGCTAAAGAAGAAATATCACATGATCATGTGGATAGATGGAGAAAAAGCATTTGACAAAATCCAACACCCGTTCATGATAAAAGCTCTTGGTAAAGTAGGGATAAGAACTTCCTCAATTTGATAAAAAATATCTACAGAAAACCTACAGCTAGCATACTTAATGGTGAGAAACTAGAAGTCTTCCCATTAAGATCAGGAACAAGGCAGGGATGTCCCCTTTCACTACTCCATTTCAACACTGTACTAGAAGTCTTAGCCAATGTAATAAGATAAGGAAATAAAAGGTGTACTGATTAAGAGGGAAGAAATAAAAAACTGTTTTTGCAGATGGCATGATCATCTAGGTAGAATATCTGAAAGAACTGACCAAAAAATTCCTAGAATAAGTGATCATAGCAAGGTTACAGAATATAAGGTTAATACACAAAAGTCAATCACTTTCCTACTGAACAACTGACATTTCAAATTAAAAACACATTACCATTTATATCAGCACCCTAAACAATGAAATACTTAGGTATAAATCTAACAAAATATGTATAGACCTGTCTATATGAAGAAAACTATAAAACTCTGATGAACAAAATCAAAGAACAAAATAAATGGAGAGATATTCCATCTTCATGGATAGGAAAACTTGATATTGTCAAGATGTCAGTTCTTCCCAATTTGGTCTACAGATTCAAGGAAATCCCAGTCAAAATCCCAGCAAATTATTTTATGGATATCAACAAATAGATTTTAAAGTTTAAATAGAGAGGCAAAAGATACAGAATAGCCAACACAACCCTGAAGAAGAACAAAGTTGGAGGACTAACACTACCTAACTTCAAGAGTTACTATAAAACTACAGTAATCAAGACAGTGTGATATTGGTGAAAGAATAGACACATAGATTAAAAGAACAGAACAGAGAGCCAGAAATACAGCCACATAAATAGGGTCAATTGATATCTGACAAAAGAGCAAAAGGAACACAATGGAGCAAAGATAGTTTTTTCAACAACTGGATATCCACATGCAAAAAAATGAATCTTGATACAGATCTTACACTCTTCATAAAAACTAACTCAAAATGTATTATACATCTAAATTTAAAATGCAAAACTATGAAATTCCTAGAAGATAACATAGGAGAAAATCCAGGTGACCTTGGGTTTGTTCGTGACTTTTTAGAGATAACAACAAAGGTATGATCCATGAAAGAAATAACTGATAAGCTGGACTTCAATAAAATAAAAAAATTTCTGTTCTTCAAAAGACATTGTCAAGAGAATGAAAAGAGAAGCCAGAGACTGGGAAAAAATATTTACAAAAAACATATCTGGTAAAGGACTGGTATCCAAAATATACAAAAAACTTTGAAAACTCAACAATAAGAAAATGAACAAACCAATTAAGAAATGGACTAGGGGTGCCTGTGTGGTGCAGTCGGTTAAGCATCCGACTCTTGGTTTCAGCTCATGTCATGATCTCAGGGTCCTGGGATCAAGCCCTGCATTAGGCTCCACGCTCAGTGGAGTCTGTTTGAGATTCTCTCTCCCTCTTCCTCTGCCCCTCCTGCTAGTGCTGTCCCCCCACCAAATAAATAAATAAATAAATCTTTTTTTTTTTTAAAGAAGAAATGGACCAAAGATCTTAACAGACACTTCATCAAAGAAGACAGATAGATGGCAAATAAGGATATGAAAAGATGTTCCACATCATATGTCATTAGGGAAATGCAAATAAAACAACCCATAAGAATGGTACATACTAAGTATAAATATGCAGAGCACAGATGTTTAAGGCAGTGAAACCATCCTGCATGACATTAAAATGCTAGATACATGTCATTATACACTTGTCAAAACCTACAGAACGTACAACGCCAAGAGTGAAAGATAATGTAAACTATGGACTGTAGGTGATAATGATTTATCAGTGTAGGTTCATCAGTTGTAACAAATGTACCATTCTGGTGGGGGACACTGATAATGAGAGAGGCTATGCCTGAGTGGGGGCAGGGGGTACATGGGAAATTTCTGTGCCTCCTGATGAATTTTGCTATAAACCTGAAACTACTCTAAAAAATGAAATCTATTTAAAAACATGAGAGAAAGAAACAAGCTAGTATCCTGGTATTTCTATTAGCTATCTATTAGCTAAGGTAGCCATTAGCTACTCATTTGTAGATTATGGATTTAGAAATACTACAAGGATGAGTTAGTTCTTTTTGCTATTCTAAGTTCTACAAAGAAAAGGAAGTTCTTGCTGACTGGAAGGGAAAAAAATATCAGAATATCATTCCATAGTTAGTGAAAAGTTGTACAAATTTGGAAGATAGGATTCAAATTCCAACAGGGCCTAGCAGAAATAAAAACAAGCAAAATTCTTCACTATATAAACAAAGAAATTGAATAAAGTCAGAAGAATTGTTTTGACCATATATTTAGATTACTGTGTGCTGATCTGGCCACACTATGATCAGAAAACCAACTCAGAAAAGAATGAGGGATGGTGCAGGCATCTAAATTAGCCTAGTAACTTACAGATCCCCATTACTTCCATATAAAACAGGATTAAGATTCTCTATCATCCCCTATCATTGAAATTCAAAAACTAAATTTGATTATTGTTTCAGTCGTCACTTTTAATGAATAAAAGTGATAAAAATAAAAAATAATGAAAACATTTAACCCAACTTAATTTCATTATTGTTTCATCATATGAACTTTCACGTAAATGTGATTTGGATCTTTTGGTGAATGTCATGGTAACCCCAAATCTCTAGTTTAGGGAAATAATACCATCAAACTCAATCAGAAGTGGAGTTGGAACTAAACTTTTATGAACTATTTTATAGTCATTTTCTCCTATTAGAGTAAGCTACCAGGTTATTGTAGGAGAGCTCAGTAAGAATTTGCTGCTCATTAAATAATAATTAGTTCTCCATATTTGTTACTAAGACATGCAAATGCCAGATTTGGTGGTCCCCGAGGGTGTATTAGCAGAGTTAGGGAAAGTTCTGAGGGACCTCTAGTCAGGCAATATTCTGTAAGTTAGTCACATACTATATCATCATATACCGGGTTCCCCTCTTGAGAACATCTATGCTCCAGGGCCAACTGGGCCTGTTCCAAGCAGCCCTTCTTTGGTGGAATTTCCTACTACATCACTTTAGAATCAAGAACCAGAGACTCTTGGGGCACCTGGGTGGCTCGGTCGGTTAAGCGTCTGCCTTCACCTCAGGTCATGATCCCAGGGTCCTGCTCAGCAGAGAGCCTACTTCTCCCTCTCCCGCTCCCCCTGCTTGTGCTCGCTTTCTTTCTCTCTCTCCGTCAAATAAATAAATAAAATCTTAAAAAAAAAAAAGAATCAAAGACTCTTAAAGTTGGAAGGAAAGTTAAAGATCAAAAATGATATTACAGGAAAAAGTATCATCTGGTAAGATATTGTTCAACCCTTGCTTGTGTCTGTATTGTTGATTAAACAACAAAACAAAATTAAGCAAACAATACAGAAGAATCTTTCCCGTTCATTACAAGTATTAGGGTTGCTAAATGTAAATATAGAATTGTCTCATTTTTCCAGTGTAGGATAAATAGAGGCCATATTTGAACTTGACCCAAACTCTTGTTTACTCACAATTTATCCTAACCCTTCATTTCTTCTGATGAAAGTAATTGTCCTGTGCTTTATAATAAAAACACAGCAACCAACCTGGATGTTTACAGTGTTTTGCCAACAAATAAGGCAAACAATCCCGCCAAATCTGAACTGGCTATGCAGACAAAAGAAATCAAATAATGACTTCAGAGTTCCAAAACTAATTTATTACTCTAATGAGGGCTAGACTCCAACTTGGATACTTAACTTTTTTCAGGTCCCTAGTGAGATAAATGTTTTACCGTATATTTTTAGCTGGGAGTTGTTTTATTTTAATAGCATTGCTTTTAAATAACTTTTCCTTAAAAAGACAACAACAAAAAAAAAACCCACCAAAAATACCCTCCAGCACCTCTAACTTTATGATTCTCTAATTGAATTATGTGATTCGATTAGAAAGCAATGGTTTACTTTACCCAACTTTTATCATTTTGTGTTTAGAATCATTCTCAGAAATCCAAATTAGCTGATTACTGAACAAGTTCTAATTACCCCCCAGAGACTGTGGGAGCCTGGACTTTTTGGATTGTTCACTGTTTGGCTGGGAAACAGGCTTCCTCTTGTAGTGCCTGATCTGCTATTGATTTAAAAACTGACCTAAAGGGCTATTTGTTCTGGGTTCTTTGAAGTATATTCGATACTCCTGCCTTGTGGAATCATTCTGACAGACATCCTGAACCTCATGCCATATTCTTTACTATGTAGTCTGTGCAGCTGGGAATAATGGGATAATGGCTCATTAACCTGCTCTCACCTCCAAAAGAGGGCCAAGGATTTAAAATACCTCCAAATAATCACACTGGTGTTTCTGGCTTGAACCGTGAGGCAAGTCAGTTCCGTTTCCAGTCCACATGATCCCTCCTTCCTAGCCTTGGACTTGGGGCCATGCCTGTCTCCTAGATTCTTTTTTTTTTTTCTTTTTAGATTTATTTATTTATGGGGCGCCTGGGTGGCTCAGTTGGTTAAGCGTCTGCCTTTGGCTCAGGTCATGGTCCCAGGGTCCTGGGATCAAGCCCCGCATCGGGCTCCGTGCTCAGCAGAGAGCCTGCTCCTCC